TAGTGACCCTGTATAGAGTTTCCAAGGAGCAGCTAGTGAGCTTGAACCACTGACCTTGCAGTTCAAATGGCTTTGAAGTCTGACACATTAACCCACAGTGCCACACCAGGACTCCTAGCAACCCTGTAAAACCAAAAACTCCAAACTCACTGCCATCGAGTCAGTTCTGACTTATAACAACCCCACGGGACAGAGTAGAACTGCTCCATAGGGTTTCCAGGGTTGTAGAGGATTATGGAAGCTGCCCGCCACATCTTTCTCCTGCAGAGTGACGGTTTGAGCTGCCAACCTTTTGGCTGGCCACCAACAGCCAAGTGCTTAACCAGTGTACCACCAGGGCTCCTTCTGCAGAGTAAACCCAAACCAGACCCACTGCTGTCCAACCTAGTCCAACCCTGTAGGATAGGGTAAAACGCCCTGTCTTTTCTCTCGTGGAGCAGCTGGTGGGTTCAAACCACAGACCTTTAGTTTGGCAGCTGAGCACCTTAACCACTGTGCCACCATGGCTCCTCTGCCATGAAAGGGGAGTTTTGAATGAGAACTGGGATCCATCACTTCCTTTAGGTAGAGTTACTGAGGGACAGGTTTTTGCAGCTGGTGTTTGTTTGACATGTGAATGTCTTCATTTAGTAACCTAAAAGGAAAGGAAAGCACTAGGGCTTCATAGCTTTGGTTCATCTGCTAATTTTATTGATAGAAGTGTTCCTTCAAGTACCTTTGTTTCCTGTGTGGGGAAACAGAACAAACCCCACAAAGACTTGATAGGATCTCTTAGCAATTCTGTTTGACAAGTCAAAGGTCTCCGAGTGGATAAAGATGTTTAAGCTCCATCTGGCACATAATAAACCTGGCTCACAATAAGTACTCAGATAATCTGGTATATTATTGAATAAATCAGCTCTCAGGATAATCAGTGCCAGGTTCTAGTAATGGGAAGGGGCAGTTAGAACCTCAGAGATGGTTTGTTTCCCCATCCGTTCTTTTATGATGCAAACTTGTCCCATCTCAAGATGAGGTCTCAGAAGATGAACTTGCTTTGGCAGATGTGGAGGCCTCTGCACCCTTCTTCCTTTGGGTTTTTCCTGAGATTTCCTACAACCAAGCAGCAGCCCCGGTGTGGGGTTTTTGCACCATGGTAGATGCACAGAGAAGAGGCACGGCCACCCCTTTCACCAGGCCCACCCGCCTCCCAGCCCACGCCCAGGCCTGGGTGTACATGTGTAGACCCAGGCCCTGGCCTGTGCTGCTTCACAGCCTTCCCGGTGACCTGCCTACACAATGAGGAGCTCTGTTCTCGGGCACCGCCCACACCGGGTGGCAGCGCAGCACCCTGGGGGCTGTGTGTGTCTGTGAGGTGAACACAGAGGCTCTTGTTGGCAGTTCTGGAAATGCAAACCAAACATTTGCTGAGCTGGCTGTTTTACAGCCTAACTGGAGAGGGAGTTTGCAGTTGTGGGGCAGGCAGAACAAAGGGAAGATGAGGCCTGCTCTTGAACTGGAGGGAGAAAGGGGCTTCTTTGCCTTTCTGGGCCTCAGTTTCTTTATCTATAAAATGGGAATGACATGCAATACCGGTCTTGCATGTTTGTGAGGATCAGATGAGGTGCTGTAGTAAATTCGTTGTGTTAGTAACAGAGTTGTCATGTAGAACTGTTTGTGCATTGTTGTGAAAGTATGTGGCATTTTCATATACTCTTGGGATCGTGTAGTCCTGGCCCCCTCTCTACCCCTGCCCTTCCCTACCCTCACCCCAGCCTCTCTCTAGTCCTGAGTCCCAGCCTGGCTGTTGACAATATAGAGGAATCAGGTACCAAGGACAGCTTGGAAGGGGCATCTTGGACAACTTGATTCTGCGCTCTGTGCCCTTGTTTCTCCAGGATAATGTCAGCTCTTTTGTCCACTCTAGGTGGCTTACAGATGTGGCCCACATTCATTTCAGGTGCATTCACTGAGGTGCCCAGGAGGCCCCTTACGCATGCATACATTGTCTTGTTAGGGGTTGTGATCCTCTTGGCCTCTGCTTTGCGGGATCTGTGGGTTAGTGCACTAGACTGCAAAATTGTGTCAACTGCAAGGTCAGCAGTTCAAACTCACCAGTCACTCTTCAGAATCCCTACAGGGTCACTATGGGTCAGTTTTCAAAACTTGTTTGACAAAGGAGTCTAACTTCCCTTCTGGATTCATGAGTTCAAGTTTTCTGGTCCTAGTGGGTTGGGTGGAGAATCATTTGTCCAACAAGCATTGCTCACCTGTTATATATCATTGAGCATTTTTCCTTGAAGGAAACAGTAAAATGTCCTTCCTTGGACCTTCCAGTCTAATTAGGAATTCCAGCAGAGCTTGAGGAAAGGAAAGGTGGTTTCTGATACCAGGCACATTATGTTCTTGCGTAATGAGCATGGACGTATGACCACATGGGTGGGGAGGGGGAGAACCACTGCTTACAGGGGCCCCACTGGAATTTGGTCCATAATGTGTTACTAACCTGCTCCACAGTCCCTTCAGGTGTTGTTTGTTAAGTGCTGTTGAGTCTGTTCTGATTCAAACCAACTCTGTATAGGATTTCTGAGGAGCAGCTGGTGGGTTTGAACCACCGACCTTGCAGTTAAAAGTCCAGTGCTCATCCTAGAGTGCCACAGCAGAGCCGTATTACCAACCCTGTTTAACAGATGAAGCAGCTTAGACTCAGAGAGGTTTATTGTTGTTGTTAAGTGCTGTCAAGTTGGTTCTGCCTCATAGCGACCCGGTATGGGGTTTCCAGGGAGCCAATGGCAGAGGTAAGAACTCAAACCCAGGTCTTCCTGACTTAAGTTCACGTCCTTTCCATTGTGCTGACCTTTTTCACTCCCTCCATTCCTGTGCTGCCTCATTTCAGTCCTTCTGCCTTTCACTAAGCCAGCTGAATGCTGGGCGTGGGAAGGGTCGGAGGGGGCTATGCCAGGTACTGCAGTAGGTTGAAGGCAGACACGACACTAGAGAGAGTAAAGAAGAAGTAAAATCAATCATCCATCATAGTCACTGTGCTCACAGAACAGGCTGATGAGGGTAGAGTAGTGCCATGCCCATTTAGCTACAAGAGTTGTACCAAGTTCTATGAGCCCTGCAAAGAGCAAGACTTTGGTTCTCTGCTGGGGGATTGAGCAGCTATGCAGGAGACAAGTTCATCTCAGAGTGAGGCAGACCTCAGAAGGTGTTTTTCTGGAGAGGAGCCCCAGAAGCCCCACTTCTGGCCTCAAACTTCAGCCCTGCCACTTAGCTTTGAGAAACCCGCGGAGTTCTTGCTCACTCCTCTGCTTCACTGCATCCCCCCACCCTCCATCACCCACACACAGGGGTGTTGTGAAGGTGAGAGCTGATGCGGGGACAGAACTTCAGGGCCAGTCCATGTAGATTCGATAATCCAAGTAGAAAAGGACCAGCAGTTTCAGAAGTTAGTCCCGGTGGAATGGGGAGGAAACAGCAGGATGAATCTTTCCATCACACCAGAACCTTCTGAAAGGCATTTGGGTCATCATGAAGGAGCCACCTAAGTAAGTCACTGTCCCCACCACCAGCAGACACCCATCCCACCATGAGAGCCCAAGTCATCTGGGTTCCCAGTGCCTCATGCTGCCCAGCTCAGCAACTCACTTCCCTCGTGCAGAATTCCAAGTTCCATTTTTAATTGCCTATAGTGGTTACGAATCGGGCTGCAAACCTTAAGGTCAGCGGTTTGAAACTACCAGCAGCTCCGCGGGAGAAAGATGAGGCTTTCTACTCCCATAAGGATTTACACCCTCGGAAACCCTGTACAGGGTCGCTATGGGTCGGAACTGACTCGTCGGCACTTAACAACAACAACAACATAGGTGGAATTAATTAGGTTCTGTCATTCTGAAAACTCACAGGGGTAGATTCCCTCCCCCATCCCCAAATGCACATAATCTTTTGAGGGATTGTGTCTTTTCTTTGCAAAAATATCACTAAGTTAAAAGTATTGCCATTTTAAGTGGCAGATTAAGGAAAAATTTAATTAGAAGGAATGAAAGCAGTTGTGTTTGGTGTTTCGTTCTTTATTTTATTTTTTTGCTGCTGAATCGTGGCACTTGGAGTTTGTATATTTCCCTTTTAGGTGGAATGATTTGCCTAATTAAGCCTGTCACCCATCACCACATGCTCTGTTAAATACATAGCTGTATTATTAAGCTTGCAAGTCAATGTATAAATTAATTCAGTAGGGAATTACAGTGTTGACTAGGATGTTATTAGGTTTTATCCAGTTTATCTGGTTTGAAAACTGATATCCCCCCCACCCCCCTAAAAAATAAAAGGCAAAACAGCAGCTCATTGAGTCTCTTGATTTGGGATTGGAGGTGCTGTAGGGGACAAGAGGCACAGGGGCAAATCTGGTGCAGCCCCTGCCCTCAAGGTGCTACACAGTCTGATGGGAGCCAGACAAAGAAAGTGGGTGCCGTTAGGAAATTACAGGGAGTCTGGGGAGAAGGTACAGTCAGGGAAGGCTTCCTGGGGTGGTGACCAATGAAGAGCAAGTGGAGTCAGTCAGGTGAAGACTTCTGATGTTACAGAGGGATGTCATGGCAATTTGGGTGGAGGGGATTGCAAGGAGTTGGCAGAGGAGGTGAGGTGGGCCCTGGAGAGCCTGACAGGTTGAACTGAAGCACTTGGCTTCTTCCTAGTCAGTGTTCCAGGCTCCAGGCATCTCATCTCTGTCCTGTGACAGGAGGTTTGCTGTGGGTTTTATCTTGGCATAAATCCCCCACTTTCAGTTTTAGCCCATGGAGCCCTGGGATGTCAAAAGCGAAAGTAATTTAGGGTTCACCTGGCCCCTCCCTCTCCATTAAGAAGAAGGCCAAAATCTTTTGAACCAGGTTTTTTCATTGCCTAAAGTTTCTGCAAATAGTGAAGCTCTAACTCTGACAGTTGAACCTCTGCCAGGCACCACCCACTGACCTCTGGGCTGAGCTTTGGGTAACCATACTGTCTTGCTCTCTCCCCCACAGCCCAGTTTAATGGCACCGAGAAGCGGCAAGCGTCCCCCTCACCTTCCCGGGACCGGCGGCGCCAGCTTCGTGCTCCCGGTGGAGGCTTCAAGCCCATCAAACACGGGAGCCCCGAGTTCTGTGGGATCTTGGGAGAAAGAGTGGACCCTGCTGTCCCCCTGGAGAAGCAGATGTAAGTTCTCACTGAGTAAAGCTCAGCTGTACTCTCAATCTGGTCTCTGCCCTTAATTGTCTTTTTCTTGGTTTAAAAATCCAGGTTTAGAGAATGACACAGTTCAAGGGGCCTTTTAGTCTGAACTCAGAGCCACCAGTATGTCACTGGTGGCACCGGGATCAGAACTCTCATCTCCTGAGTCCCAGCCCCAAGCCTTTGCTGGCCACCCTCTTCCTCCATTTATTTTGATGCCAACAGCAGGCATTGCAAAACTGTGTACCTCTCACACTGCCATCCTTGCTTCTCCTGTCATCATGCAGCAGATGAATCCTTACAAAACTTAGTGTCAGCTAAACCCTAAACCCTAATTTTCCAACTAAACCTAATTTTTCAACTAAACCCTAATTTTCCAACAAGAAAAAATGTTTTTGCTCCACCTCTACTGGATTTTGGTTGGGCAAAGCCTGTACACTTTGGATTTGGGTTTTCTTCGCCCCTTTGCCCAGAGCTTGGGCCCAGCCAGTGGCCAAGTCCCATCCATGCTGCCCACAAGGTCTCTTGCTCCTCTGTCTCCGCCCCTCCTGGCCACCCTGAATGTTGTGCTGGGTCAGGCCCTTTACAGCCTTCCCCCTTCCATCTGGTTTTCACCTTGTCAGCAGATTTGAGTGTTTAGGTCTCTGCACTGGCTGAAATCTTCAGGGGCTCCCCACCATCACCCTAGTCTGCCATTCACTCTGTGACAAGGTCAGTTTCTCACCCTTCCACATCTAGACAACAGTGAGCTGCTGCTCTCTATGCCCAGACAGCTGATCAAGCAGGTACCAGGTATTGCCCTGGTACCTTCAGGAGTATCCTCCACTTAACAAGCAAATGTGAGATCAATAACATAATCTCCCCCACTTTATAGATGAGAATACTGTGGCTCAAAGAGGTATAGAGCCTTGGATTTCACAGCTCAGAGAACAGACTCAGGACAAAGACCCCACTGGGTCCTGTTTCTTCCCTCACCTCTTACTCTTCTCTCATGCCCACCCTTAGCACAGCACCTGGCACAGAGCAGCCACTTCAGGAATCCAAAGAGATGAGCCCGCAGCACGCAAACTCCCTCGGGAGCCTTGCTTACCCTCAAACACTATATTGGTCTCCAGCCGGGCTTCTGGTCCTGGCCTGCCAGTGCATCCCCTCACAGGAAATGCTGGCTCCGTGAGTAGGACGCAGGGCTTTCCAAAGGATGCAGTGCGCCCCCCTTTGAAGCACATGCTGTGATCCACTGAGGCTGAGCCGTCTGTGTGAGCGCTCCTAACAGGTGTTGTGTTAATCACTTCCCACAGTCATGCAGATTGGGTGGCAGGTTTTGCTTATTTCTGATCAAACTGCACTTTATCATCAACAAACAAAATATGAAGCAAGATGCCTCAGGGCTGTTCCACGTGCATCCTGACTCCGCCAGGCTGAGTTAGGACCAGCTTTCCCTCACCCACCTTCTCTCCCAGGGTCATTCTGGCCCACAGGAGACCTTGACTCATTGCTGAGAGAATGATTAGAGCAAATCCACTTCTGGTGGAGCCTAATGCCCCAGAGAGAGGACCACCTAGTCCTCCACCTGGACAGATGATGCTCTGGTGCTCATCCAGCCAAAGCTGTTCCACCTGGTGCCAGGAGGCTGGGAGCCTGCAGCACTGTGGGACGTGCCCTGGTCTCGCAGGGTTGTTGGGGATTGGATGTCACATCTGGCTGTGTGCCTGTACCACCTGCCCAGGTACCCTGCATCCTTATTTCTTTCAGTGTGTGTTCTCATCACTAATGTCTTAAAAGGAAATGAATGAATAGATCATGTCGCCCCAGCGTCCCCTTTGAGAACATGAGCTCCATGAAGACAGGGCTTGTCTGGGGCACCACTGCATTCCCCAGTGCCTACAGCAGCATCTGCAATATAACAAACAGACGAAAAACACCCATTGCCATTGAGTAAATTCCAACTCGGTGGCCCCATAGAGACCCTATAGGGTCCTTGTTGTTGTTAAGTACCGTGGAGTCAATTCCGACTCATAGTGACCCTGCACAGGGTTTCCGAGGCTGTAAATCTTTACGGGAGCAGAAAGCCTCATCTTTCTCCCGCGGAACCGCTGGTGGTTTTGAACTGCTGACCTTGAGGTTGGCAGCCCGACTCGTAACCACTACGCTACCAGAGGGTCCTTAGGGATTCTAAAATTAAATTTTTACAGAATCAGACAGCCTCGTCGTTCTCCCAGGGAACGGCTGGTGGATTTGAACTGCTGACCTTGGAGTTAGTAGCCCAACACTTAACCCACTGTGCTACCAGTGCTCAGTTAGTAGCTGTCAGGTCAGTGAATGAATGAGGCCTCCAGGAACAGCCTGCCGTCCTCTCTGCCCTGGCTTACCTTCCACTCTCCTTTCTCACTACACCTACTTCCCTTCTCTACCTGGGGCTCCAGGTACCTCTTCTGCCCCCAGTGGCAGTTGGTATGGACACATCTGGCTCCTGGTTTTTCTCCTGCCGGGCTGGCTTGACCTGAGGTTGGATTTCCCAGGTTCAGTCTCTAGCTCCATTCTCTTCTTGGCTCACCTCTTCAGTCTCCTGGTGGATGAGTCACAAGTGCATCTCCCAACCCACACTTCTCCCAGAGGCCCGACCCTGCGTGGCTGAGGCCTGGGCATCTCAGTCTTACCAGAATCCTGATCCTCGCCTCAAAACCTGCTATTCCCAGCTCTGTAAGCAGCAGTATGGCTGTCTAGCTGCATGTTTCCTTATTTGCTTCACACCCAGCATTTAGTTCTTTACCATGTTCTGCTGGCTCTCCTCCAAAATACAGCCAGAATCTGCCATCCCTCCCATCTCCATGGCCACCTCCCATGGACCACTGCTCTAGCCTCCTACCTGGTGTCCTTGCTTCTCCTCTGGCCCCTCTTATCCAGAGCAAGTAACATCTATTTAGAACTCACCATCACTTTCCATTATGTTTAGCATCACATCCAAATGTCTTCTCTTGGCCCACAGCCTCCAGTAGCCAGATCCCACCTCCCACTCAACCCTCCCTACTCAGTGCTCAGGCTGATCTTGTCACCATTCTGCTCTGTGAACAACTCAAACTCATTCCTACGTCAGGACCTTTGCACATGCTGTTTCCTCTGTAGAAATATTTTCTTTGGTTGTTCACATGATTGGCTCCTCTCATCAGGTAGATCTCAGATCGAATGTCATCTCCTTAGGGACTCCCCCCCGCCCCCCGACTCCACTCCTCCTAATGCAGCCACCTCCTCCCACCCTAAACCCCAACCCTGTTGTCATCAGGTCGAGCTACCCCATAGGGTTTTCAAGGCTATACTCTTTACAGAAATTGACTGCCATATCTTTCTCCCACAGAGCAGCTTGTGCGTTTGAACCACTGACCTTTCAATTGGCATCAGAGTGCTTAAATACTGCACCACCAGGATTCCTCCCTCCTACCCTAATCTGGCAGCGTAGTGGTTACGAATCAGGCTGTGAACCTTAAGGTCAGCGGTTTGAAACTACCAGCCGCTCCGCGGGAGAAAGATGAGGCTTTCTACTCCCGTAAGGATTTACACCCTCGGAAACCCTGTACAGGGTCGCTATGGGTCGGAACCGACTCGATGGCACTTAACGACAACAACAACAACCCTAAGCAGTACTGGGTTACCACCTCCATGCTGCACAGCACGTTTCACTCTCTGAAATTGTTTCCAGTATCTGTTTGCTGGCTGCCCATCTCCCTGATGTCAGCCTGTGAAAACAAGGCAATAGCACGTAGTCAGTAAATATTGACAAAGCCGGTGTGTATTGGATGGGGTACGTGATAGCAGATGAGTCTCCCTGAGCCCCTGGTTCTGGCCTGAGTGGCCAGCTCTGAGAGGTCCAGCACTTGCCCATGGTGGCTTGCCACCTAGGTTCTCCTCTCAGTTCAGGCAAAACCTGTATCTATCCAGTGATTGGTGCCTAAGCCCCACAGGACCACCCAAGCCCACCCTGCCTCCAACTTCTGGCTCATGGTTGGCTTAATCCAGTGCCCTTTGCCCTTCTTGACCCCAGTTCCCCAGCCCTTCTTTCTGTGTGGGGTAGCTAAGCAGCTAAGGAAGGAACCAGAAGCTTATCCTGTTTCCCCACCAGGGATTATCCTTAACAAGGCCACAGGAGGCCGTCTGCCCACCCATCTCCGCCTTCCCTAGATTTGCCAGTGTGCTCAGGGCAGGGCAGGGCAGGCGGTAGGCAGTGCTTCCCCAGGAGACCACTCTGGGCCTTCCCCCAAGGACTGTTCAGCTTCAGTGGCTGGACTTGTTTTCCTTATAAGACAACATGTTTGCCAGCTCACTGAAGGTGTGTCATATAGGTAAATTTCCTGGAGCACAGTTTTACTAGATCTCTTCTCTCCCCTCTGCCTTGGTCTAACTGTGCCCCCAATTACAGTAATGTATACTTTCTAAAGCATGTCTGGGCTTTAATGTGTCTGATATGTTTTAATTTTATAGCAGCTCATGCATACCCACACTCCCATTCATATCCCCAAACATAAGTTTAAGGGAGGAAGGCAGGTCTGCGGGCTGCACTCTCCCCTGCCTTTGCCCTTTGTGCATTTCCTCTGGGTGTCCACCTGCTGCAAGGCAGCCAGCAGCTTGGTCTGATGCTGACTGAGCCCTCAGATCTCCTCTCCAGTCTTATTTTTCAGAAGGTGGTTTTTAGTTTTTTAGATTATAATTAAGCCATCAAGGAGCCCTGGTAGCGCAGTGGGTAAATACTTAGCTGCGAACTAAAGAACCCACCAGCTGCTCTGTTCAAGAAAGATGTAGCAGTCCACTCCATAAAGATGGGTGTCAAGTGCCGTCAAGTTGCTTCCGACCCATAGTGACCCTGTATAGTGTTTCCAAGGAGTAGCTGTTGAGCTTGAACCCCATTGACCTTTCAATTTTAACCAACTTTGCATTTCAGCACATTAACCCGCAGCACCACACTAGGATGCCAACCTTTGAGATCCTATGGGGCAGGTCTTCCCTGTTCTGGAGGGTCTCTGTGGGTCTCTCAATTAAGCCATCGCCTTGCTGCTACGTTGTTCCGCATGCTGCCCATGGCTGGCAGACCGTGCACAGTGAAGGCGTGTTCCCAGAAGGCAGTGGTCTCGCTCACACCTAGGAACGTATGGCCAGCCATTCTGGTGGGTGGGGTCCTGCAGTGCTGATAAGATGAGGTGTTGTCATGTGACTGTCTGTAAGTCCTCTTTCTGCTGATGCTAGTGACTGCCGTGTGTGGAAACACCCTATCCAGGTTCCCCAGGAGCCCATCCTGCGTGTGTCCTCTTGTTTAATCCCCACAACCCCACCAGCAGATTGGAGCGATTCCTAACTCAATAAGAGAACAGTATCTCAGCCACATTCAGCATTTTGTCCCAGAACCATAACTGGGCCTGTCCAAGTGAAGCCAAACTGTCTGCCACGTCCAATTGTCTTCCTGGTTCTGTCTCTCACATCACTGACCCTTCCCCTCCAAGACCAAGACGACTTCTCCACATATGCGTTGTGACCAGCCAGCACATGATGGTTGCTGCTCTTTTCCACTGAATTTCTGCGTCCTACTTATCCTGTTCCCTCGGGGTCCTGGGGTCGGGATCGGTTGTGGGTTGGGCTCCCCGTGCCCAGCTCCCACTGGGCCCTTCTGTCCAGGAGCAGCAGCACTAGAATCATTACTGCTTCATTTGTTAGGAGCAGGGTGCTGCTGCTGTCCTACACCGACTGCCCGATGTCCGAATACTTCCCTCATTCAGGGGAAGCCAGATCCTGGCCTCCTGGGCCTTGCCACCCATCCCTCCCCGCAGCACACCAAACCTGCTCTCTCCCACCTGCTTCCCCTCTGACCTCCAGGTCACACTCAAAGGTCACTTTCCCAGAAGGCTCCCTAGCTGCTCCCCTTCAAGGCAACCTGCTTGGTCTTTTCAAAGATCATCCAGGGTAGGTAACATCTTTACTTAAAGCTCATCACCTTCCATTCTGTTTAGACTAAGAGCCTTGGTCCACATGCCCCAGGTGTCCAGACCCCACCTCCCACTTGGCACTCATCCTGTATCAAGCCCCTTGTTCACATTGCCTCAGAGCAGCAACTCCCACCTCAAGCTGTCAAACCCATTTTACAGATTGGAAAACATCATCCTATAATGGCTTTCCTACACTAGGTTGTAAGCTTCACGGGGCCAGAGACTGTAGGTTCTCTTGGCTGTTTTCTCTCCAGGGTCTGGCAGGCAGCAGGCATTCAGTATATATTTGCCGGACAAACAAACGAGTATATCTGCCTAATAACAAAAGGGCCGAGGACACTCTGGGGTTGCCATTGGGGTTGCTGAGTGATCCTCTGGGGCCAGACTACAGGGGATCGGGGCTGTGGGCATTACGTCTCCGCTGGGTGCCAATCTCTGCCTTCTCCCCAGATGGTATCACGGAGCCATCAGCAGGGGCGACGCCGAGAGCCTGCTCAGACTCTGCAAGGAGTGTAGCTACCTGGTGCGGAACAGCCAGACCAGCAAGCACGACTACTCCCTCTCCCTGAAGTGAGTACAGCACACACGCACCCCAGCCGCTGCCAGTGTCCCCCCGGGGAGCTGGCCAGCGCCAGTTATTGCAAGCCTCGGTTTTTCAATTTGATCGTGTTCTCCTGGGATTTGGAGGAGTTTTTACTGGTTGCCATTTCTGCCTCCCCAAAAGGGAGGGACCTTTTTCTAGGATTTATATTAAATAACCAAGACTAGCTTCCATGTCTGCTGCTAGTGGGGGATTAGAGAAAGGGCTTAGCAGACCGTATCCTTCTCGGCATCCTCACAACATCCCTCAGATGAGGAAACTGAGGCTCAGAGAGGGATGTAGCTGTCCACAGTGGCGGGGCAGGACTGGAGGCCAGTGCTGCCCTCCCCACTGGCCTCTTCTTGTGTACTTCCATGTGGTTTGGGCAGGTCTGATATCACAAAGACTGTGAAGAGCACAGGGTGGAGTCAGGAAGTCTCTGCCTGTGGGCACCCACAAGGCACTGCTGTCAGAATGGGCGGACCCAGAATTAGAAATGGGTTTGGATGGGACCCATTTTACAGATAGGAAAACTGAGACCATGAGCGAGAAGGATGTCAGGACTGAGGTATAAACCTAGAGACTCTTAACAGCACAGACCACCACAAGCAGTAGCACCCTCTTCTCAGCTTCCCATTCTTCTTCTAACTACTCTTAGAGGCCATGTGAGGAGGAGAGAGGCTGCTGGGATATGGCTGTCAGAAGGGCCCATGTCCATGTCAGTTGTGTGAACGGTGGGACCAAAAGAGCCAAGGATGGAAAGGCTGGCCTGCTCTCTCTGCTCCACACTGACCCCAGCCCTCTGTAGGGCTCTCCCCAAGAGGGACATGACACACTGCCACAAAGATGGGGCAGAGGCAAGGCCAACACAGAGGTACCTGGAGAAGTGAGGGTGTCCAAGGCACAGCATACCACAGACTTCTTAAAGATTCTCCGGGAGCACAGATGGAGCATATATGGTTGGGGGTCCCCAGATAGGGAAGTTACAGGCAGGCTGATTTCAGATCAGTGAGAGGGAAATTTTCTCTAAGAATTAAAGTTGTCTCAATAGGTAATGAGCTTCGTGTCATTGGGGTATGCAACCAGAGGCTGGACGACCACCTCCTTCAGGAGGCTATAACTGGGGACAAAAGCAAGCAGAAACGCTGCTGTTCTAGCTTCAGGCAGCGGCAAGCAGGCCGGTTATCAACGTTGAGGGAAATTCAAAATGTTAAATCACAGTTCAGGCGAGAGACTGGGCTGGAGGGAGCCAAGCCAGCAGAGCGTACCTGGACTGAGGGGAATTATTGCTCAGACATGGCCTTGCAGCCTAGGTGCCAAAGAGAGAAGCTCTCTGATTCCTACTCTCCCATGTCTGGGTCAGATACGCTGAGCTGGCTGAGAGAGCTAGAGGAAGCAAGGGCATCAGGGATGAGCACCATGTCACCAGCCTTCCCCCACAGACAGGCAGCCCGCCCCCTACTGTGGCTTCCTCGCTCTCTAGAAACACTGAGGAATGTATGTCTCTGAGTCCTGGGAAGACCCAGGTCTGAGGCCTAGCCTAGAAGGGCCTCCATAGCAGGACTGCATTCACAGGGAGGAGGTCTGGGTGTCCCTACACCAAGCCTGTCCCCTTCTGGATGAAGCACTGTGAGGCCCCACCTGCCTGCAAGGGGCAGCCTGCTGAGTGCTCAGGCAAGCCTGGGCTGAGGTGCCAACACCGGCAGTTACAGAAGGCACCACACCAATAATATCCTGCCAGACCCTTCTCCGTCCCCTGTGCCAAGTGCTCACAGCCATGGCCTCACAAGCAGGTCTCCAGGAAAATGTTTCTGTCAGAGTCCTTAGAGCATTGCTCCCCTTTTCCTGCCTGGTTCCTGCCCTTCCCTGGAGATAGTGGGACCTCCACGGAGGTCCTTCTGGCTCTGCTCTTGCTTGGTAAGTGTGCAATCAGAGGCCCAGTGTCCTGACTGCAGGCTGTGGAGGCAGCAGGGATGGGCCTCCCTGGCCTTGTGGAGTCTCTATGTCCCAGAGTGATAGTGACTTTGCTGAGCTTTGGTGAACATCACCTTTGTTAATCCTGCCCCACCCTCATCACCCTGCAGTTTGATTGAAAGATGTTTCAGAGCCACAGAAAGGTCTGGATGCCTTTCTGGAATGGTGGTCACATAGGACATCTCTGCTTTTACATCGAGGGGCTCTGAGACACCCCAAGTTGTTCCTGTCTGTGGGTTCATTCACCGTTTGTCTTCAGAATGCTTGCAGTCCAGGGGACAAGGGGAAGGAGAGTAGGGGAGATTTGAATACTGGTCTCACCCATAGGAGCTGGAAGTGGAAGGTTTCGTTTACACTTACACACACCTGAACCTGGGGAGATAGTCTGAGCCATCCTGGGACTGGGGATGGGCTTACCTAGGAAGCAGCGCCTGCATAGATCACTTCAACCACAAATGGTGGGGCCCTGAGTGTCCCATTTTCCTCAGCCGCAACTTTGTTCCCCACCATCTGGGGGGTGTGGTGTTTCCCACACTCAGCTGCCTGTTGCAAGCGGACATCGGAATTTCAGCTATGCTGCTGCGCCCCCTCCAGCCATCTTTCTTGGAGCACTGCTGTGCGGTGTTCTAGAATGGAGAAAGGACTTGCGGAGTCGCCTCAGAGGACAGGGCCCTCTGCCCTCCCTTCGCCAGGTATTTCTCAGCCACCTCTATGCCAGGCCATGGACTGGGCATAAGAGAGAGATCACTAGAGGCCCAGAGTCCCTGCCCCTGGGGTGGGGAGGGTTTATCAGGAGCAGCTATAAGGAGGAGGAACAGAGGACAGATTGTCCCAGGCAAAGACAGGTCGTGTCAGAGTCTTGGTTGGTCCTGTGTGCCTCACACAGGCTCTGGGACTCAGTTTTAAGCTCCTAGAATGCAGGACCCTGTCTCCAGGCACCCACCCTGCTTGGACCCCACTTCCACTTATCTCCTCTCCACATGCCTACTTCACTTTACAGCCCCACAAGGTGACTCTCTGCCCTCTTTCGGGCAATTCCTGAATAAGGTTTCCAAGGAGCAGCTGGTGAATTCGAACCACTGACCTTGCGGTCCAGTGCATTAGCTCACAGCACTGTACCAGGACTCCCTGTCTTAGGGTAGGGAACATTGAACAGCCTGTCCAAGGTCTATCATGTAGCCAAGATTGAGGAGGGGACCAAGGCCATTGACCTCCCAGCCTCATGCCTTCCCACAACCTCTCAAGCCTTCTGACCTTCAGCAGAAGATCCTTAGATGTCCAACCACTAGTCCAATCTCTGTGCTGGGAGATTGGGACCCAGAGGGGACTCATGACTGGCCTTAGGCTATCCAGCTGGCATCAGATATGGTGGTGAAGCCGGCTTGCCCAGCTCCTGCCTGTTTGCCTTGGAATGTCCCCACTTCAGAGACCTTCTCGGGCTCTATCCTACTTGCCAGGAGGCTGCGCCCTGGTCTCAGAGCAGACACATGGCACTGGTACCCAGTACTGGCCCCTGGATGCATTTATTCCAACCTCAGAGAAACAAAGCTTGAGCCTTCAGAAATTGTCAAAAAAAAATGTCTCAAACTCTGAATTGTTTCCTTGCCTCTAGAAGAGGCAAGCAGGGAAAAGGATAAAAAGTTTTGAAAAACCTCGTTAAAAGGGCTCTTCAGGCACTCTGGGCTGTGAAGCATTCTTCTGGAGTTCTAGTTTCATGCAAAAGAATCTGGGACAGATGATGGAAACAGGACTTCAAAGGTGGGGGCAGTGTTGTGGCTGCTGTGGGCAGTGCTGGGTTCTGTCTGCTTGTGCCACGCATGGGGCTGGAGAGACAGACATCGGGTGGCACTCAGCCTTGGCCAGAAGCCACAGCCAGTGAGGCCCTGCTCATTTGAAAAAGACCCATCCAACCCTCCTCACAAAGGGGTCTATGACTTTCAGATCCCCGGAGACACTCTGTAGGGAATTCTGGCAAATGTGGCCCAGAGTCTGGCCTCAGAGGTGTTTCAGGGTTTGGTCTCTTCCCACTGGGCTGTAACTGAGGCCTGGTGGTCCAGGAGCTGTCCTGAAGCCCGTTGTCATCCTTGCCCATTCGGTACTAGCCCTCAGGGAGCCCAGAGCCTGCTGCTGAGGAGGACAACATTTGCATAAAGCTTGCTGTTAAGTACCTTCAAGTTGATTCCAACTCATAGCCACCCTGTATGGGATTTCTGAGGAGCCGCTGGTGGGTTTGAACTGCTAATCTTGTGGTTAACGGTCCAATGCTTATCCTACTGTTCCACATCAGGATTCCTACGTAAATATTACAGCCAAGAAAATCCTATGGGGCAGTTTTGTCTTGTCACATGGAGTCACTATGGGTCGAAACTGACTGGACAGCACATAATAAGACCAAGGCCTGAGTGAGGAACAGAGCCAACAGGGGGAAGGTGGATAGTGAAGGATGAGGAGGTCTTAGACCCGGGGTAGGGAGTGTCCGGCCTTGGCAAAACAACTGCAGTTTCAGCCATTAAAGTAGAGGTGAGTTCTTGAAATGTTTGACCAAATATAGCAGGCTAATTGTAAGTGGATCATTTTGTATGACCCGCAAATGATACAAATTTTGACAGAAAAAAGTCAACCCACCTCTGCATTAGACCCATGGATGGTAGAGAGAGGGCAGTGAGGCTGAGGCAGTAAGGAACGCAGGACTGATGTGAGAACAAGGCACTTACCTGAGCCTTGGAGAGATGAGACTCTAGCTGCCAGCCTTCATCCTATAGGCAGTTGTTGTTAAGTGCCGTCGAGTCGATCCCGACCCATAGCGACCCTGTATAGGGTTTCCAAGGAGCGGCTGGTGAGCGTGAACTAACGACCTTGCGGTTCAAATGGCTTTGCAGTCTGGCGCATTAACCCACAGCGCCACACCAGGACTCCCCTATAGGCAGTGGGAGCCCCAAAAGCTTGAGCAGGATGCAGTGACATTCCAGAACCACTGATGAGCTCAGGTGCCCCAGTCTGTGAACACAGCTCTGGC